CTTTCATTAATTGACTGAATAATCGTTGAGTTTAACAAAAGGTTGAATATATACTTTGAAGATGCTAATAAAAATTATTTCCGAGCATTACTTTGGATTGACCCTAAAACTAGGGAAAGATCTTCGGTTGTCGAGCTTTTCACGGGGAAACAAGGACGGATTCCAGATAGAAACTTTCCGGTTGGTTGCCTCCAGTAACCATATTGATAGACAGTCTCTTCAGGGTCTGCCATCCACTCTTGTTCTTTTGCTAGCCTTTCGATCTCGACAGCGCTGGCCAATTCTTGCTCTACGTCATACACTCCTCCAAATTTGAAAGAGCTCTTCAAATGAGGGAAGAACATACGTTCTCCGGGGACATCCGTCCTCTCAATCTGGCTTTCCTTGCCTCGACCCTCTTTTTCAGTTCTTGGCCACGCTATTGGAATATGGGCTTAAACCCGAGCCCAAAACGGTCTCTCTTCTATTCAAGAGTTATGGGTCGTACCAGCCCCTGCAGATTTTTCCCAGTCCTTTGTCGGTTCACGGTCCTCTTCTCAGGGTTTGCCTTACTGTCATCTTAGTGCAATCTGAGAGTGTGGGACAAGGAATCCTACTTCCTTCAGCCATATAGGTTGCGTTGATAAATTCTATCACCCTGAAGGAATATTCTAAGGCGTCTTCATTGGCTTCGATGTATGGGGTATCTATCGTCACAGAAGCTATGATTTCTTGTTCAGCTCCGATACTGACCAACCTTCCATCAATTACGAATTTCAACTTCTGATGTAAGGACGAAGGAACTGCCCCTGCAGCGTGGATCCAAGGTCTCCCCAGTAAGCAATTGTATGTAGGGTGGATGTCCATTATTACAAAGTCAATGTTGTAAATAGCAGGTCCGATAATCAAGGGTATTTCCATCTTTCCCATCACGTCCTTCTGGGTTCCGTCAAATGCTCTGGCGAAGTTATTATAAGCTCTCATGTGTTAGCTATCAATGGGCATTCTTTGTAGCTTAGCCAAAGGCATTACATTTAGTGCAGACCCGTTATCTATCAGAACTCCCGGTAAGACATGGTCGTGGCAGTGTACCGTGATATTTAAAGCCTTGATGGACCCCATCCCTCCTTCCAAGATCTCATCATCAGTGAAGGTGATGTAGTTGTCAACAGCTATGTGTCCTACGATTCGATCCAATTTATGCGTTGAGATATCATCAGGGACAAAAGTTTGTGAAGATGCTCCACTACGCTATATTCACTATGCTTTAGGAATCTTAGGAATTCACGACCCTGAGCTTCGGTCACGGGCTCGTTAATAACTGGTGGAGGTTCTTCATTGAAATTTTTGGCATTACCACTATCTTGGCTTTGGCCTTTGCTTTATCTGCTTCGGTGGATGTCTCAGTGAGTAGCATCTTCTGCTTCTCGTGAAGTGGCCTACCTCACCTATTTCTTCTGGGATTAACTTGCTTTCTTCTTTCATCCTTTCAGCAGTTTTTGGTCCCTCTGGTATGGACACACTAGCTGCGTAATTCCAAGGAACCTGTCGGGTGTCCTTAAACGGGAAGGGGAACGGAGTTGTGATCACCATTTCGGAGTCATTGACGATGAGCTCTCATGTCTTGGTCTAACGGTGATGACCACCGGTTTTCTCGCTCCAGCATCCTGTCAGAGCCATCCGTCATGCAGAGGACCATTTCTCGGGGTCTTTCTTCAAAAAATTCCACTTCCCCGCTGTCCATCATTCTCTGATGTAATCCTCGAAAATCGTGGCAACTCTGTATGTTGTGGTCCTCCTCTTGGTGATATTCGCAATACGTTTTACGTCCCCAAGGCATTGGCGTGAGACTATATTTAATCATCCCCGACATGCACAACTGTCCAAACACCTTGCTGAGAAGAGATCAGATTTCTGATACATTTCTCTTCGTCGTTCGTATCTCTCTTTCATCTATCATATTGATTCTTTGCCCTCCGTGATTAGGAAGGGGTTAGCATTTGCAGCTGGTATTTTGAATTCCAGATCTCCAGCATTGATGAAGCTTTGTACAACTGTCTTGAAAGCTGAGCAGTTCTCGATATCATACCCAACGATCCCTGCGTGATAATCACAGTGAGCGTTGGCATTATACCAATACGGTAAAGTGGCTGCAGCGGCGTTAACTTGTAAGGACGCACTAGATCTGCCTTCAAAAGCGAGGCATAAATTTCTGAGTACGGTACTGGTACTGGTACTGGTGAGAAAGTTTGCCTCGTATTCTCTCTCCTTGGCCCCCTATTCTCATAAGTGTTTGCCTTCTCTACCTAGGCTGGGTGATTGTAACACTGGCAGCGCAATTCTTATGTGAGTGTTCGTATGGTTCACCTTGCTTTCTCTTTTCTTAAAATAGGGCTTCTTTGACCCTTCACCTCCTTCAAACTTTCCATTTCTAATGGCATTCTCGATTATCTCACCAGAAATGACCAAGTCAGCAAAATTCTTGGTAGCATTTCCTAAGAGATGCCCTAAATACGGAGCTTTTAGAGTATTCACAAAAATGACTGTAGCCTCTTTTTCCAACAATGGGGGTTACACTTGGGATGCCACATCACGCCACCTTTGGGCGTATTGCCTAAAGGTTTCACTTTGTCGTTTCTCCATATTTTGCAGCATCCACCGGTCAGGTACCAGGTCAGTGACGTGACAATACGCTCTAAAAATGCTCGGGCCAAATCCCTCCATGATTTAATATGAGACTTGGTCAATTGGTTGTACCATTTGTTCGCTGATCCAGTCAAACCTGGAATCAATGTATCAGAAGCTTCTCGTTCTCAGTATATCCAGCCATCCTCCTACAGAACATGGTAAGATGGACAGATGGGCAAATGGTCCCGTCGTACTTTTCGAAATCTGGCGTTTTGAACTTCGGGGGCAATATGAGATCAGGAACAAGCTTAGCTCCCTCGCGTCCATTCCTTAGAATGGCTCCACCTCTATCGACCTTACCCTTTCCTCCAGATTTTTCAGTTGTTGGGTTATTCCGCTGTCAACCTTTCCTTTTGCTGATATTTCCTGAAATCATGAGGTAACTCTTCCATGCCTGACTCAACAGATCTTACCCTGGCAGCCGATGGGTAATTAGCTTGATATACGGGCTCAGTATGATTATGGGCTGGCGATTTAACAGAAATGTGTATTGGGGTAAAACCGGGAGGATGTGAAGGTCTTGGTGTAAACCCCGGTGGATGTTGGGGATCAGATGTAAACACAGCAGGATATGATGCTTCTGGTTCAAACCTTGGAGGATGCAGGGGATCTTCTTCGGATAACGCTCGCTGGTCAACCTTCGTCTTTCCATTCGTAGCATGTTTCTTAAACATTTCTTCGATCTTTTGCAAGATACGACTGTGAGTTCTCTATCTCTGCTTCTATTTTATTTAGTCTCTCTCTCATTTCTTCTTGAGCTTGTTTTTGGTCTTGTTCGAGTTGCTGCATTCTTGCCTCCATTTTCTTGGCATTCTACGAGTACCGTAAGGGTGTGAGGCGAGTGCCAGGATAACTACAATTGGTTGGAAATTATATTTTATTATTTGGTGAATTTTAATAAATGAATGAATTGTTATAATATAATCATTTAGTCTTTTAAATATGATAAAAGCATGTGAAAATCCAAATACAAATGCAACCCGATATTGATTCTGAAATAACTTAGTTTATATAAAAAAGGTACTCAACAACACACAATGTCTAAGCACTTAGGCAAAGAGAGTACATCAGTCATGGAAACTAAACATAAAATCTTGCCGTATCCCCTAATCTTTCGAGCTCTATCATCAATCCGATGATGCGTCATTCTTCTATTGACTCGGGACCACAAAAACTTTCAGGTCATCACTTCTTCAGATAATTCGAATAGTTGGCGAGCAACACTACGGGCCTAACTCATGGCTCTCCCCATTGCTTCATGTTGACTCTGAATGGTATCCTGCCGTAGCACGGTTCCAAGCTCTGAATTAGTCAATGGTCAACTTTCTTCTAATTGTTGGATTCGCTGATGACCTTTTTGTACTGCAACTTCTAGCTCAGTAATCTTGACTTTTAAGGCCTCATTCTCCTGCCTGGTTATATCATGTGCGGATGAGTGTATCAACCTTGCTTCTTCTAACTCTGCTACCCTTTTCTTTAACCTCTCATTTTCTTTTTGAAGACGGGACCCATTGTTACTATACGAGTTCTGAAAAATCTCATCCATACTAAGCAGCTGTGCTTCGAGCCGTTCAATCTGTTCCCGCCTCTGTGTCAATTATTGTTAACCTCATCTCTTTGCTCTCTTAGTCTTTGTGCATGCTGCAGGGCTTGTTTCTTTTCTTCTTGATATCTTCTTGCACTTCTTTCTACCCTATCGAGTTTTATGTTTAGGGTCTTGGCTGTATGATGTAGACCTTGGGCTCTCATGTTCTTCTCTAAGGCCCGAAAATCTTGATTTAGCGCATCAAAACTTCCTTGAACCTTCTCTTTATCTTTGGACAATTATTTTGTCACTCCATGCTTCTTAATCAGCTCGATCTCCCACATTGTCTTCTCATATGAGAACTTTCTATTTTCTTTTTCTCTCTCCAGATTTATCAGTCGCATTTCCTCTCTTAACAATTCAACCTCTGTCGGGAGCCTCTTCAATCGCTCCTCCATAGTCAACTCATCGTCTAAATTTGGCTTCGCGTGTTTTATTAATCCTTTGCAACCTCCAACCCTCATAGGTCGGTGTGAATACAGGCTCAATCATCTTGAATCTCATGTAGTGAGGTTTCTGCCAAGCTGTATAAATCTTTGAAATCCACTCTCGGTAACCTGGAGTGGAGAAAGAAAACTCTGCCTCCTTCAAGCTGTGGGTAGCGGGTACGAACTGTCGGGTACTGAACTGTCTGAGTGCAATTAGCGGAGTATACCCGATCGCTCCCCAGAACCCATGTAGCATTACAAAACTATCATTGCCGCATCTAAAAGTATGTCTGCTTTGGGTAACCAGTAAGCCTTCCATACTATCTCGTATCTTTTATGTTATGGAGAGCTTCAACCCATTCCTTCCTATTGCGATGCTCTGGTATTTGACACTTACTGAGGAAATCCACTAGAGGCGAAAAATTCGATTGATGTCTCCGAGCCCAACCTTTCTCGATTATCCAGGAGTGGCTCCACCACCAAACTAGTAACAATGAGGCACATCCGGTGAACTGATCTCCCCCCAATCGTCTACACTGGTTCAATGACAAGAATGTTTCCGCAAGGATAGCTGGTGCGGGATTCTTTCTAGCAATAGATTCGACAAAATCAATTAAAGCGATGTCGAAGTGATCCTTATTCCTGGGGAAAATGACCAAGCCATATAATGCAAGTGCAAAGTGATATCTTCTTCTTTTTGATGGAGTCTGCTCATAAATCAAACTCTTCAGTTGAGGCAAGAGATTCCCTTATCACGAATATACTCTTCGACCCATTCCATGGTCTTCCCGGTCAGCGTGATCATCTTGGTAATGAATCCCTTAGGTCAGATCGCCTTGGTGTAAATAGAATGTCTTCTTATATTCGGGATATTTAGTAAAGCCATATACTCCTCCAAGGTAGGGGTCATATCTACTTTACCGAACGTGAAACACCTGTAAGCTGGATTCCAACACTCGGCCAGCGCTCGAACAACCACTGTGTCTATTGGAACTCTGAGCATCTCTACTAGGTCGCCGTATATTTCTCTGAACAATGTCTTCTCATTATCATCCCAAGTGGCCCAAATTCTTGATAACTCAGTCCAATGAGTCTGTCTGACTTGGATAATTACCTTCTCCGGTAAAACTGATTCTTCATTAGTAACAAGGCTATCCCCGAATCGCTTTTATCCGTATTCAGACCAGGTTTGAACATTTATTGTATTCTCAGTCCCATCGGAAAACATTGTTGCCTTAAGCTCTTTTTATAATAACTAGATAATCTGGGAATCAATATCGTTTATGAAATGATGCGATATGATAATGATACATGCAATCAAGAAATAAAGCAACAAGTTAGTACATCATAATAATCGAAAAATAAAGGAATAATTGGTGAAAATTTAAATTATCGAAAGTGAAATAATCAAAGAAAATTGAAAATCCTAACATCATGCGATTTAGTTCTCTTAAGTTAAACCAAATGGCTTTAAAGGGGTTGGTTTACTAAATTCTCTATATGTGGGAGGGTTCTAGCAAGGGTTCCCGAGTAATTTCACAACCTGCTAAGGTTGACCCTGATTCTGGCCCATTACAAACTTGCGAATCGGGTTTCACTCAGGGGATCACACCACTAAAAGCGTACCTCGGAACTGATATCCGGATAAGCAATTTAGGGTGCTTTCCAGAGATACTTTGTCAGACCCACACAAGGAAGCCCGATGCTCCTCATGAGGTGTGATGTTTCTTCCTACTTTGATAAATCAGGATTGAGCTCGGGTTTAGAGCTATGCTATGCAACAATCCTAAATATTTCATAGAAGTGTAAGCATTAACCAGAGAGAAATCTATTTTTTTAAATAACATAATGAACAGTCAATTAAATAAGATCGAACTCGTAATTTCCAAAATAGTAAATATAGGGTAACCAAATTGTGGCTCGACTCTCAATTTGTTTTAAAAAACAAAATTCCCCAGCGGAGTCGCCAAGCTGTCGACACCGTTTTTCGCCCGGGCGGGGAAAGACCGATACCGATTCGGGGATTTTCACTTTTAGAATCGTTTCGAAATGTGAGGAGTCGCCACTAATATTTAAGGTGAGATTGGAACACTGTAAAAATCTGGTGATTTTAATAAAACAATTTATTTTAATAAAACACCGAGTTTTAGGGTCTACAAAAATCCAGAAATCAGGTTCGGGAGTTAGTTACGCGTGAGGAATGATTAGTACCCCCACAAGCACCCAAAAATTGGTACCTAGTTGATTACCCTATATTTAAAATTGAAAATTTTGAGTTCGATCTGCCCCTCGTTGGATGAGTTCTTCTCATTATGAACTCTCCGCTGGAAATCTTGAGCTAAGGTTGAACAAGTTCTTCTCATTATGAACTTCTTCTCCCTTGTTGGATGAGTTCTTCTCATTATGAACTCTCCACTGGAAATGTTGATCAGCTTATCTTCTCTTTAAAGATTTAATCCTGCAAATATTTATCATGTGTCAGTGAATTGGTGTTTGAAGCACCTGAAAGCAATGACCTCCCAGTCTTTGAAATTGCTTCAATCCATGTAAGATATTGACTGATCCTTTGCGGAAACTGCGAAATGAATCTTTCATAGACTCTTTGAGTTCCTGTAATATTTTCAAAACTTTATGTAAATGCATGTGTATGCTCTTATTTGATGAATGCATGAGTGTGTATGGTGAGTTTTTGAGTTTTTAGGGTTTTACAGACCCATTTTATCTTTATCCTCGTCGAGTCTTCATTTTTGCTGACTTCGTGTCTGATTCGTAATCTTTCTGTAATTTCTTGTCTCGCCCTCTCATCAATCACTCGCTTCAACTAGTGCAAATATCGATCGGATGGACGACCTTGGATTTCCAATATCTTCATGGGTTAATCGCAAAGTAATACCAAAAAACCATTTGTTTAGAATTCAGATACTTTTTATGGCTCACGAAAATGATTGTTTTGAAAATCAAAATGATAATCAGGAAATTTATTGACAAATGTAAGTTTTACACAAAGTCATGGTAATCAAAAGAATTGAACAAGGATTCTGGAATCAAAAGAATATGTCATAACGAATTCTAGCACAAGTGTTCCTAAATCAGTTAATTTAACGTCACGAGCCAATCCTTTGTCTGGGAGATCTCAAGGTGGCAAAGTTGTTTGCAAAAGTGAAGTCATTCACGACCAACTAGTCTTTAGAGGATGTTACTTGTCGGATGCCTCCATATAAAAAATGCACTTGAGCCGCCCTTTCGGGTTTTCAACTCAAATCCTTCATTTGTTTCAAGATGCCGTTTACGGGTTTTCACCTTGAACCTCTCCTTTTTTTTAGGCATAATATTTCTTGATAGATTCTGAATTTGTTGGATTTTTGAGTACTTTTCCGTCCATCTCTGCCAAAATCAAAGCCCCTCGGAGAAGGCCTTTTTAACAATGTAGGGGCCCTCCCAATTGGGCATCCATTTTCCACAGAAGTCCTTCGGGATTGGCAAAATCGTTTTAAGAATTATATCCCCTTCTCGGAACTCTCTTGGGCGTACTTTCCTATCATGGGCTCTCATCATCCTTTTTTGGTACATCTGCCCACGACATATAGCATTCAACCTTTTCTCTTCAATAAGATGCAGTTGATCAAAGCGAGACTGAATCCATTCTGCTTCATCCAATTCTACTTCCTTCAAGACTCAAATTGATGGAATTTCAACCTCAATAGGTACAACTTCCTCTGTTCCATATACCAGAGATAAATGCGTTGCCCCTGTCGATGTTCGTACAGTCGTTCTATAACCATAAAGAGCGAAAGGTAATTTCTCATGCCAATCCCTGTAAGTTTCTGTAGCCTTTGTAATGATCCTTTTGATGTTCTTGTTTGCTGTCTCTACTGCCCCATTCATTTTAAGGTGATAGGTAACATAGTTGGCATGCTTTATATTGAACTGCACACAAAGTTCTTCCATCATCTTGTTGTTTAGATTAGTAGCATTGTCCGTGATGATTCTTTCTGGTAACCCATATCGACATATTATTTCCATCTTTATGAACCTGCAAACTGTGGATCTCGTGATACTGGAATAGGAAGCATCCTCTACCCATTTTGTGAAGTAATCGATTGCTACTAAGATGAATCGGTGCCCATTTAAAGCTTCCGGTGTGATTGCCCCAATGATGTCTATGCCCCACATAGAGAATGGCTAGGGTGAGCTCATGACATGCAAAGGAGAAGGTGGTGCTTGAATTTTATCCGTATATATCTGGCATTTATGACATCTTCTCATGTAATTGACACAATATGTATGCATCGTGGCCCAATAGTATCCATATCTCATCATTTTTCTGGCCATGGACAAACCATTTGCATGTGTTCCAGACGTTCCGCCATGCACTTCTTCCATACCATTTTTTGCTTCTTTGGCAGTTACACATCTCAGTAAAACTTGGTCACTACCCCTTCTGTATAGGATTTCCCCGTCAATGAAGTATCTGACTGCCATTCTTCTGATGGTTCTCTTGTCAACTTCAAATGCGTTAGGAGGATACGTCTGGTATCTCATGTACTGTAAGATATCACAGTACCATGGATGGCCATCTATTTCTTCTTCTATGTGATAGCAGTGGGCTGGGGTCTCGTATACTTGCATCATTATGGGCATCATATCAATTCTCTTATTAGCTTTAAACATCGCTACTAGGGTAGCTAAAGCATCTGCCATCTGATTGTCCTCTCGAGGGAGGTACTTGAACTTGACATCCTCAAATTCATTCAGTAGTTCAAGGACCAAATTTCGATATTCCACTAGCTTTGAATCTTTCGTCTCCCATTCTCCCTTTAGTTGGTACACTACTAATGAGGAATCTCTGTACACTTTCAGTGCCTTGACCTTTCTTTCAATGGCTGCTTTTAACCCCATAATACAAGCTTCGTATTCGGCCATGTTGTTGGTACAAAAGAATTCTAATCTACTTGTGAAAGGATAGTACATTTCCTCAGGGGAAATCAACACTGCCCCAATTCCATTTCCTAAAGCGTTAGAGGCTCCATCAAAGTACAAGGTCCAAGATTTTTTACCCCTAGAGCTCTCTTCATCGGTAGAGATGCACATCAAATCCTCATCTGGGAAATTAAAGTTCAAACCTTCGTAGTCTTCTGAGGCACGACTTGCAAGAAAGTCGGCTACGACGCTTCCTTTTATTACCTTTTGGCTCACATAGACAATATCAAACTCAGGTAACAACATCTGCTATCTAGCCAGTCTGCCAGTCAGAGCAGGGGACTCCATCAAAAATTTCAGTGGATCCAATCTTGATATCAACCATGTGGTATGGTATAACATGTATTGCCTGAGTCTTCGGGTAGCCCAAACTAAGGCACAACACAGCTTTTGAATTGGTGAGTATCGAGTCTCACAGTCGGTAAACTTCTTACTCAAGTAATAGATGGCTATTTTCTTTCTTCCTTATTCATCATGTTTCCCTAGTACACAACCCATTGAATTCTCGAAAATTGTTAGGTAGAGAATTAGTGGTCTGCCTGGTACTGGTGTTACCAATATGGGGGCATTTGACAGATATTTCTTGATTTCTAGAGTCTACTGGCATTCGTTATTCCATACCTCTGGATTATTCTTTTTGAGCAATTTGAACACTGGATCGCACTTATCGGTCAAATGAGAAATAAATCACGATATATAATTTAGTCTTCCCAAGAACCCTTGAACCTCTTTCTGTGTGTGAGGTACAGAAAGGTCTTGAATTGCCTTGACCTTATCTGGATCGATCTCGATTCCTTCCTAGCTTACCACAAAGCCCAATAGTTTCCATGATTTTACTCCGAACGTGCATTTGGTTAGATTGAGCTTTAGTTGGTACTTCCTTAATCTTTGGAACAATTTTCTCAAATTTTGCACATGCTCCTCTTCCATTCGAGACTTGGCAGTCATGTCATCTACGTACACTTCTATTTCCTTATGCATCATGTTATTGAAGAGAGTCACATGGTTCTCTGATAGGTTGCCCCGTCATTTTTCAACCCGAATGGCATCACTTTGTAATAGAAAGTTCCCCACGCGGTTATAAACGTTATTTTCTCCATATCCTTAGGGTTCATTTTGATCTAGTTATACCCTGAGAAGCTATCCATGAAGGAAAACCAAGAATGCCCTGCAGTATTGTCTACCAGAGTGTCTATATGAGGTAAGGGAAAATTGTCTTTCGGGATAGCCCTGTTAAGGTCTCGATAATCCATACACATGCGGTCTTTCCCCACCTGGGCGAAAAACGGTGTCGACAGCTTGGCAACTCCGCTGGGGATTTTTGTTTTTAAAAAAAAAACAAATTGAGAGTCGAGCCACGAGTTTGTTACCCTTTATTTACTATTTTGGAAATTACGAGTTTGATTTTATTTAAAATACGGTTCATTATATTATTTCAAAAAAAAGAAAAAAATAGATTTCTTTTTGGTTAATGCTTACACTTTTGTGGAATTATTTAATATAGTTGCATATCACAGCTCTGAACCTGAGCTCCAACCCGATTTACCTAAGTAGAGAGAAACGTCACACCTCACGAGGAGCATTGGGCTTCCTTATGTGGGTCTTATAAAGTATGTCTGGAAAGCATCCTAAGTTGCCTATCTGGATATCGGATCCGAGGTACGCTTTTAGTGGTGTGATCTCCTGAGCCGAACTCAATTCGTAAGTCTGTAATGGACCAGAATCGGGGGCAACCTTAGTAGGTTGTAAAAATGGTTTGGGAACCTTTTGCTAAAACCCAACCTTATATAGAGAATTTAGTAAGCCTACCCCACTAGAGCCATGTGGATAGCCTAGGAGAACTAGAACGCATGCGGTTAGGAATATTACTTTTCTTTGTATGCCTTTTTTCAATCTCAACTTTGAGTCATATTTATTTATTTTTGCTAAGACTATATTTTTGGACTAATCTTTTCAACTAACTTGATTCTTGTGGTCTTGTTTCTACTAACATTGGTTTCCTTTTGTCTGCTCTTATTGTATTTTTGCATGAACATAACATATCATTCAAAGGTATTGATCCCTAAATGATTGTTCATGTAGAAGGTTCTTGAAAAACAATACCACATCAATGTCTTTCTCTGGGATCGATAGGATTTCGAAGATGCTCCACGTAGATCGAGAAGCGTCAAGAGGGAGTCTACCTACCAAGGAGATGAGCCAGACACATGCCTGCTAAGATAGCAAGATTGGACTTGAGACGATTCGATGCTGAAGCTAACAGTTGAAGATCACTAACCAACTCGGAAAATTTCTGGAAATAAGAAATGAAGTAGGAGCTAGATGGAGTCCACCTACCAATGAGACAAGCCATACATTTGCCTGCTGAGGTAACAAGTTGGAATCGATAAAATTCAATGCTGAAGCCAACATTTGAAGATTGCAAACCAGTTCGAAAGATTTCTGAAGGTAGAAGATGCAGTGAAGAAGAAGATTTGAAGATGCTTTGTACCCATGATGCTCCCAGATGCTCACAGAGCTAGGAAACTTACAGATGGACCAGATTTTCATCCCAGTGTACCGAGACATTGTCAGTTTTTCGAGAATTATTCTAGGAACAGTTATTTTGGGATCAATTTCTTTTGTATACATTCATTTTGCATAACGCTTGCATCCATTAATACATTTTCTAATCATGCATTGAAACATTCATTCATTAAAACAATGATAATAAGTTAAGGTTTCTGATCACATTGATTCGGGTTCACATTGGTAGCAAGAGTGCTTATCCTTATTGATGAAAGAAAATGCCTACAGAAATAGAGGATAAGTTAGACAAAATTGAGAGAGAACATAAAGATATGCAAGAAGAAATTAAGAACAAGTTAGTACAACTTGAGGCTAAAATCGCAAACTCTCAGCTAGATCTGTTGAATAAGGTGGAAGAAATGTTTAGGAGACATTTGACCACTGGAAAGACCACTATGGGAGACCCCCACACATCCTTCGGGTTTCACATCTGTTCACATTCCTAAGCACGTCTCTGCGCATCAAGGAATCCAATCACCAGTCTGCTTCACTATCCCGAACCAACAATATAATGCTGGAGCTTCATTCCCCATTGATTGTCCTGCTGCTTCTAGGCTGAAGCCAGGTGAATGTTGTGCTAATATTGAGGTCCCTGACCTAAATGAATTAGATAAAAATGAAAGCTAAAAATGAAGAGATTATTCAAAGAATGAAGGATTTAGAGGATGTGGTAAAATCTAAGGAGACGTTCGAGTCATTCTACGGGTGCGACGCCAAAGAGTTAAGTTTGGTTCCCGATCTGGTCCTCCCACCAAAGTTCAAAACTCTAGATTTTGAAAAACACAATGGGACCACTTACTCATCGGCCCACATCACCATGTTCTACAGGAGAATGACAGGTTATACTGAAAATGAGAAGCTTCTAATACATTGCTTCCAGGATAGTCTGACTAGATCGGTGGTCAAATGGTACAATCAGTTGACCAGATCCCAGATCAAATCATGGAGGGACTAGGCACGAGCATTTTTAGAACAGTATCATCACATCACTGACCTGGTACCTGACAGGTGGACGTTGCAAAACATGGAAAAGTGATACAGTGAAACCTTCAGGCAGTACACCCAAAGATGGCGCGATGTGGCATCACAAGTACAACCCCCATAGCTGGAGAATGAGGCTACAATTATCTTTTGTGAATACCTTGAAGGCTCCATATCTGGAGCATCTGGTAGGAAATGCTACCAAGAACTTTGCTGACCTAGTTATTTCTGGGGAATTAATCAAGAACGCCATTAGGAATAGTAAGATAGGAGGTTCTGATAATACCAACGTTAAGAAATGAGTCGATGTCAATACAGTGAGTTCTTATTCAGCTAATCGTGGGGCGAAACCTTATAAAATGACCCGAGAGAAGACCTCTATTAGTGAAATTCCAGTGACATATGAAGAGCTGCTCCCAGTACTAGTTGAAAAGAATCTCGTGACTCCAGTTAGGTCTAAACCGAAAGAGCCTCCATTTCCTGAGGGGCATGATGCTAATGCAGTATGTAGCTACCACATGGGAAGCTCGGGGCATACTACTGAGAATTGTGGGGCATTAAAGCGCAAGGTTTAACACTTAATCGATTCAGGGGTATGGACGTTTGAAGGATGATAGGGCATTCTGATGCAAACTGAGAAAAAATCATTGCAGCCATTACGAACTTTTGATGCACTTGCATGTTGTCTTGTTTGAATTTTTTTCTTTATCTTTTCATTAAAAAGTTGGTAAGTCACTTAACAATCGAACATTTTAAGTAAAATGCTACATTCTGAGGTTATGAGCAAAGAATAATTTTCAAACTTGAAATTATTTAAATATCCACTGGATTAAAAGCTCTTCTAAGAATCAGAGTTATAGATCTTTGATAAAATGACAATTTTGAAAACTGATAAAACAAAGACCCTTGACCTTACCACAGATGATACACTCGAACTCCATACCCTTCTCTTGCAGGGATCACTATAGCCTTCTCCTTTCATGAGGAAACAACTAAAGGCTTGACATTCAGGTATGAATAGGAGCAGACAACATGGGGCATCTCTTGTGTATGACATTGCAAAACTGCCTAGACTACACTTCTGTTGAAGACGTTCAGTGATGATCATAATCTTCACAAATGGAATGGTGGAGTGGATGAATTTAGTTTAGGTCAATTGTTTGGGAACTGAGCTCTAAATATGGAATTTCCTGACTATCAAAGACACCTAAACTATAACAAGTTCTGCTCGATGAGCTTAAGAAATTCTAAATCTAAATGCTCGAAAGGCTAATAAATTATTACTATAGAGCTGAGCTATTCCACTAAAGTAATTGGTTATAGAGGCAACTCAAAAGCCATGGCTTTATGAATAGATTACATTCAAACCATGACATTGATCGGATACTTGGCAGTTCGGTGTTTGCTCTACTGTGATTGTCAGGTCAAAGAATTTATGACGACATGAATCCTTCAGCTAGCCCAATGAGGGCGATTATAAGGTATATACAATAAAGCTGAATTTAGCTAGCCGATAATGGCAAATTAAATCAAATTGATCTAATAATGAGTTTCGATGAAAATGGACTAAGTGAATCGAGGAACACTTGTTATAGTTAACCTCATACAAGCACGCATGAATTTCATGTTTAGACTGATGTCCCTGCACTACCTTTGTTAAAGAAAGTCTATGAAGCTTGAACAAATGAAAGATTTCA